ACCCCCCTGGTCCCTTCTCCTTCCCCACAACCCCCTGGTCCCTTCCAGCCCTCCCCCTCCCCTGGTCCCTCCCCTGCTCCCACAACCCCCTGGTCCTTCCCTTCCTACAGCCCCTGGTCCCTTCCCCGGCCTCTGCCCCTGGCCTCTCCCGGCCCTCACCAGCCCCCTGGTCCTTCAGCCTCCCAGCCCCCTGGTCCTCCCCGGCCCCACAACCCCTGGTCCTCCCCCGCCCTCACAACCCCCTGGTCCCCTCCCCCTTCCACCCCCTGGTCCCTCCCCAGCCCTCCCCAGCCCCCTGGTCCCTTCCCTGCCCTCCCGCCCCTGGGCCTCCCCGGCCCTCCCCAGCCCCCTGGTCCCTTCAGCCCTCCCCTGGCCTCCTGGTCCCTTCCCGTCCTCCAGCCCTGGTCCCTCCCCGACCCTCCCCCAGCCCCTGGTCCTCCCCCAGCCCTCGCCCCTGGTCCTCCCCCAGCCTCCCCACAGCCCCCTGGTCCCTTCCCCGCCTCTGCCCCCCTGGTCCCTCCCCGGCCCTCACAACCCCTGGTCCCTCCCCGGCCCTCAGCCCACCTGGTCCTCCCCGGCCCTCCCCAACCCCCCTGGTCCCTTCCCTTTCACAACCCCTGGTCTCCCCAGCCTCACAACCCCCCTGGTCCTCCCCCGGCCCCCAGCCCCCCTGGTCCTCTCGGCCTCACAGCCCCCTGGTCCTCCCCTGCCTCCAGGCCCCTGGTCCCTCCCCGACCCTCACAGCCCCTGGTCCTCCCCGGCCCTCCCACAACCCCTTGGTCCCTCCGGCCCTACAACCCCTGGTCCTTCCCGGCCTCCTGGCCCCTGGTCCTCCCCCAGCCTCCCAACCCCTGGTCCTCCCAGCCCCTCCCCAACCCCTGGTCCCTCCCCGACCCCTCTGCCCCCTGGTCTCCCCTGCCCTCACCCCTGGTCTCCCCCACCCTCCCCAACCCCCTGGTCCCTCCCCCAGCCTCCCCAGCCCCCTGGTCCTCCCCCCGACCCTCCCCAACCCCTGGTCCTCCCCAGCCTCCTAACCCCTGGTCTCCCTCCCCAACCCCCTGGTCCCTCCCCGACCTCACAACCCCTGGTCCCTTCCCCGGCCCCTCCCACAACCCCCTGGTCCTTCGCCTCCCCAGCCCCTGGTCCCTCCCCCGCCCTCACCCCCTGGTCCCTTCCAGCCCTCCCCCAGCCCCCCTGGTCCTCCCCGGCCCTCCCAACCCCTGGTCCTCCTGGCCCTCACAGCCCCTGGTCCCTCCCCCGGCCTCACAGCCCCCTGGTCCTTCCTCGGCCCTCTCGCCCCCTGGTCCCTCCCCGGCCCTCACAACCCCCCTGGTCCCTCCCCGGCCCTCCACAACCCCCCTGGTCCCTCCCCGGCCCTCACAGCCCCCTGGTCCCTTCCGGCCCTCCACTACCCCCCTGGTCCCTCCCGGCCTCCACGCCCCTGGTCCCTCCCCCGACCCTCAGCCCCCCTGGTCCCTCCCCGACCTCCCACAACCCCCTGGTCCCTCCCCGGCCCTCACAGACCCCTGGTCCCTCCCGACCCTCCTGGCCCCCTGGTCCCTCCGCCGGCCTCCCCAGCCCCCTGGTCCTTCCAGCCCTCACAACCTCTAACGGCAGCTTAGTGATTGTGATGATGGGAATGATAGTGATAATGACAATATTTACAACTGATAATGATAACAGTATTAAGATAATAACTCTTATTATTGTTATTAATAGTAGTGGTAATAGTCGCTATAATAATTACTTTTACTTTTATCCTCTTCGCCACTGATCGGCTCGTTAGTGTGTGTGTGTGTGTGTGTGTGTGTGTGTGTGTGTGTGTGTGTGTGTGTGTGTGTGTGTGTGTGTGTGTGTGTGTGTGTGTGTGTGTGTATGCGTGCGTGCGTGCGTTCCAGAGCTTACACATGCCTGACGTTGTACACTCCTCCATACAAATTCTTGCCGATGACGCCAGGTTATTTCGGAAATCAAGAACCAAGCGACTGTGAAGAGCTGCAGAAGGACCTCTGTGGGCTCAGGAATGGTCGAAGAAGGCTGCGCTGATTCAATGTCACGAAGTGTAGAGGATGCGCCTGGGGCACCAACAATGAGAGGCGTATCATATGTCCCAACGGGATGAGAAGTAACTGCAATATTTGAGACTGAATGTGAGAAGGACCTAGGTGTATGTTGACAATGAGCTGAGGTTCTCGGGCCATTGCGAGAAGAAGGTAAATCAGGCAAATAATTATTGGGTGTATAAGAAGGCCGTTCAGATATCTAGACGGTCCGTCTCGTAACGATCTTCAAGAGTGAAGTGCTTCCCCATTTGGAGTACTGTCACCCCGTCTGGTCCCCGAGATATGTTAGGGACTGTCAGTTGGTTGAAAATGTTTAAAGGAGGGCCACCAGACTGGTGCCTGCACTTCGGCACCTCAGCTACCCTGAGAGATTGGAGCACCTGAACTTGCCTAGCTTATACTACAGACGGGCAAGGGGGGACCTAGTTGCAGGGCGGGATTCAGGAGTGGGCAAAGTGGGCAGCTGCCCAGGGGCCTCCACAATCTGGGGGCCTCCACATATTACAATATTTTATTTATTTGTTTATTCATTTGGATCATTTCTATTTTCATGCTTTAAAATTCATGTTTATCTATTCCATCACGTAAAACTATGTTCAGCAAGAAGCGTGACCCCACATGGGGTCACAGCTCAAGATTGAAGAAGCTACAAGTCCAGAAAACTGTGAGGGCAAACTTTTTCGGAGTGAGAGTTGTGAACTCTTGGAACAACCAGCCAGAGAGTGTTGTGACGGCACCGAGTGTGAGCTCTTTCAAGACAAGACTTGACCAACACTGGAACAGGTTCAGGTACATTCAGGAGCCGGTGCATGCCCAGTACTTGCCAACAGTGCGTGACAGAGATGTGACCGATCGCCCAAGCGGCTAACGAGCCGATCAGTGGTGAAGAGAATAAAAGTAAAGTAAAAGCAAAATCTCCAAGACCTAAATGCTCCTCAGGAAGAATTCCTTGGCTGTGGTTTGTGGTTTTCCGGAAAGTTGAGTTGTTAGTGCTTGCTTAACGTCCATTTCACTTTTTTCCTGACAAACTCAATCTCTGATTAGATTATAAAAGTAGGTATAAGAAATACACCTGACCCGTGACACTGATTTTCATAGTTGAGTGTACAGCGACGGAGTTGAATAGAATTTCTGTTGTTGGTGAGATTAGCCTTTCTGGTATATATGCGTAGGCCGGAACTTCCCCAGGCTCACATATAAACGAATGCACAAGGAAGACTCACACTTTTACTTACTTTTATCCTCTTCACCAAAAGATCGGCTCGTTAGCCGCTTGGGCGATCAGTCACGTCTCTGTGACTCTTCCTCAACGCATCTCCAGGTGTGTGAACGATTGTTTCTGCCATGTTAAGTCAGTTTAACTTCGTCAATTTTGTGAATATCAGTGTTCATGTTTTAACATTGTAGTGGACGTCTCCCCTACAAACTGCGTAGCTGCATCCCACCTGCGACGCTTTCCTTAGCAACCAAGCGAGCGGCGACACCAGATGGTACGGTAACCTAGCAACGGAACCAAAAGACCGCGACTTTCTCGGGTTTTCCCAACATGACTCATAGAGGACTCGCGGCTGCTGGGTATATAAGCTCTGTCTCTCCATTGAGATTCATTCTGACCATTCTTCTTGAACAAGCAACACCTCTCCTCCGCCTGCCTGGCGGCCCTCGCTTCTCCTCGCCTGCCTGGCGGTCCTCGCTCCCGCCAGCAAGCATGGCGACCCACCAGCTGTCCTTCTCTGAGCTTCCTCACCAACCAGCTTTCTCATTCTGGTCTCTCTTCTTGAACAAGCAACACCTCATCCAGCAAGCTCCACGCTGTCAGCATTCATTCAACCAGGAGGCCAGCAACAGGCAACATCTTCTCTAACGAAGCTCCTGCACATCTACCTCCTTCAACACGCTACTCACCGAACGTCTCTACTGAGCAGCTCCTCACCACACGGCACCTCCAGCACCAGACTGTCTATCATATAACTTATATTATACAAGAAAACCACCTTACAGTTTCCATCCATCCTGAATGCTAGACAACATTATACCACGAATTCCTACAACATCGTGAAATAATCATGTGCCAAGTAATTCGAGTAAAGTAACTGTAGTCTGTATTACTGCCAGGCGTATACCTTGAGCAATTGTGTTAATGAGGAGCGCCCCGGCATAAAACCGTGTTGGCAATTCTTTACAAGGTTTTTTCGTTGTAGATGTTCCATCGCGGGATCTTTGATAATACTCTCAAGTACTTTACATATTACGCTGGTCAGGCTCACCGGTCTATAGTTGTTCATGGAGTGACGATCGCCCTTCTTGAAGATAGAACTCACATAAGCCACTTTCCATTCACTGGCAATATACAGTATATGCCAGGCTCTCAACTGGCTCAGCCATGTTAAAATTTTTATTATTAATGACTCTGTATCTGTGTTTTCTGGCTAATTATACTGTTTCAATATTGAATATTCATACAAAATTTCATGCACGATCTCCGCTCCTCTATGGTGGCGTTTGGTCGGTAAGCTATAACTGATGAACCTTCTGTAATTCGATAATAAATTCCACTTAACTACTGATTTTAACAGATCTTAGCTCGTTATGTAGTTAAATTAAAATACCTTACCTTAATTAGTTAAAACCGCGACATTATTCAGCCTATTTTGAATACTTCATGGAAATTTCCAAGTAATGCATAATGGCATTAAATTTTCAATGACCTTGTTAAGACAGACCTTAATGGTAGTTGTGAACCCGAGAAGTAACTGACACTGAGATCAGGTCATACAACACTAATAAACTATATTCTGGTTACATTTTGATAAAATAATATTAATTATATAGATTTATACGTTAAAAATTATAAATATGTTATAATATAAACATATTGTAGCTTAAAAGCGTAAAAAAAGACATTAAAACAGCGGTAGTTAACCCGGAGTTAAGTGCCCCGCTGAGGACCACAACAACAACAACAGTGGTCGAGGCCATGGCGTCTGTCTCCTCTTATAAGTCTTATCAGAAGATACGTTGTGGCATGTTTCTCCTGGCACTTGCAGGCATCGGACTGTCTCTTTACGCCTTATATGTGGAAATAAAGAAGGAGAGTGACCGAGACTTCCAGGCCATGTGTGACATCAGCGCCTCCGTCTCCTGCTCCAGAGTCTTCACCTCCAAGTAGGTTCTGAGCTACTGCTGTATATTGGGAAATATTCGTCCAAGGAAATGTTTACGAAACCTCTATCACTGAAAGTTGTTTGGGTATTATTTTACTCCGGACACAGCGCCCCGACACTACTGAAACATTAGGTCTCGCTATTCTGAGCATTTTGAACCCCATATATACATGGTGGAAATGTATGCTGGCGACACAAGTGAATTTAATTGATTTTAAGTAGTTTTCAGTCTTCGTCTGTGAGGAACATAAGAATGGAGGAAACTGCAGCGGGCCTATTGGCCCATACTGGGCAGTCCCGTTTACACCCAAGCTCTATTGCTCATATATCCATCCAACCTTTGTTTGAAGCTATCCAGTGTATACAAGTTATTGATGATATTTGGTAACCTGTTCCACTCATCCACTACTCTATTTCCAAACCAATGTTACCTAGTTCGCGCCTAAATCTAAATTTGTCTAATTTAAAACCATGGTTACGAGTTCGTTCCTGGTTGGATAGTTTGAGTACCTTTGTAACTGCGCATCACGCATGCACAATGTTGACTGACATCATCCAGTCATGACCAATGAGGTATTGATATCACGCGAATTTTTTTCGACCAATCACCATCCTCGTGTTCCCAGGATGGTGCGTCAGCTGCTGAGTCTGGTGTTCCTTGATATTGATATTGAAACAGCATGTTGTTCCCGAGTCTAGTGTTCATTGGTGCTTTAGTTAGTAAGAAAATGAACTCGTCAAGTCAAGCTTAGTAATTTTTATTGACCTCCAGAACCTAACCCTATTTTCCCCATTGATTACATGTAATTATATACAGTATAGCGATTTAGTATACAGTGGTTCCTCGATTAACTAATGGTTCAATTAACAAAATTTTCATTAACGAGTTAGCTCCCAAAAGGATTTTCAGTTCCAATAACGAACAAAACTTAGATTAACGACAGCCTTACGAGAAACATGCTTTGTGTGAGCATCAGCTGATGGGCTAGTCCACCAATACAGTAATCTGTTTTATGTTTACATTCGTTTCCAGTGGAGTAAATATCAAGAAAGTTGTGTTCTTGAATATTTTTGCATTTTATTTATTAAAGTTATTGGTCATTCTGAAATTTAGTTAACATATTGATAATATATACAGTACAGGGAACAGTTTTTGTGTGCCCTTCAGCTGATCGAATCGCCCACCAACGCTTCTCAGTTTAACTTTGTTTACAGTGGAGTGAACATTCAGTTTGTTGGTCTCTTGAATATTTTTGCATTTTTACATTAACATTATTAGTCATTCTGAAATTTAGTTAACATATTGATAATATACAGTGCAGAAATTATTATGAAACATAAGAAGGCATTAGAACAAATGCACTCTGTTAAGAATATGGCATGTCATCATCGACTGCCTCTACAATCAGCTGTTTGATATGTAAACAAAGCTGCCGGGAATATGACATACACACCTCAAAGTAAGTTAAAATAGAGTATAGGTATTCTATTGTTTTTTATTTATTATTGTACATTATTCTGTACAGTACAGTACTGTATTTAGTCTATACTGTATTTAATGTTTTGTTAATTTCTATTACTGGTACACATTACAGTGACCCCTCGTTTAACGAACACCTTGGTTAATGTAATTTCGATTAACGAACTGCCTTCCACAAGGATCTTCAATTCGGTTAACGAAAAAAAATTCGGTTAACGAATTTCTTACGAACCGACCTCAACATGTTTTCGCTTGCACTGACTGGGCAACCAGCTTTAGTATCAGTCCGCCAATACATTAATCGGTTCTAGGGCTTAAATTCCTTACTATTTTAGTAAATATCAAGAAGTTTATACTATTCAATGATTTTAAAAGTTAAATATTCAATTTTTTAGTAATTTTAACAATTATTGAACATAATTGAAGGTAAAGTGACTAGTTTAATGCGCGGCATCCAGCCTCTTAACACAGCAAACAGGCGTTAGTCTCTCTCTGTTTTCACTGGAGGTAACATCTTGCTTGAGACTCTCTTCAACTAAACGCTTTTTTCTCTGTTTCCAAGCAAATTATTGGTCATTTTGAAATATATTTTACATATTGACAATATATAATGCAGTGCAGTGTTGATTTAAAGAAAATAATCTTGAATTACACCAGAGAGCTAAAATTTTATGGGTGAAATGGCACCATGGGGTGACTTCTCTTCCACCCCAATGCCATCTCTTCTTCCTTCTCCTCCACCCCCATTCTAAATCCCATCATCATCATCATCATCCAGGAGCCTTCTACATACGCACCTCAAAGTAAGTGAACTTTTCTACCATTTTTGTTGAATTTAGGAAATTTTCGGTGAGCTGGAACCAATTACCCAAAAACCCATGGAAACAATGGTTTCGGTTAACGAACTTTTCGGTTAACGAACGACCTTCTGGAACGGATTGAGTTCGTTAACGGAGGGGTCACTGTACTTTGTATGTACAGTATTACCCCGCTTTACACGGTTTCACTTTCCGTGATTTCTCATTTACGCGGTACCTTGCCAGAACCGGACTTTCACTTTCCGCGGTGCATCTACTCATATACGCGGTGAAGTATAATTTTATTTTTTTTTATTTAGCTCATAAAATTCATACAAATTACCCGGCCAGAATATAATTTACATTGCTGGAATTCTTACAATTTGATGATCATTTTGAATATAAACATCATAGATTTTGCATTAGACATACAAATTTTAGATCTACTCTAAGTATTTTGTTTACTCTGAGTAAATATGTTATCTTTTGTGCAAAATATATGACGTTTACATTCAAAATATTCCCTGACCTGCAAGGAATCCAGAAATGTCAATTATATTATCCTAACTTTAGTCTGAGGTATTATTTATTACTAAAAGTTAAAATCTAGTAATTTCACCCAACATTTCTCTGGTAGGGAGGGAAGGTGGGGGGTGGGGGGGAGGGTTGGGACCGACCGACCATCTGGCGCGGTTGGAAGAGGGGGGAGGCAAGTTGGGGTACTTTGGTTGACAGATAGTGTCGTGAAGAATATTTTTTTTTTATTAACTGAAGATATTTGTTTTAGCTCATAAAATTCATACAAATTACTGGACCAGAATATAATTTACATTGCAGGAATTCTTACAATATGATGATCATTTTGAATATAAACATCATGGATTTTGCATTAGACATACAAATTTTAGATCTAATGTAATAATTTGGTTTACACAAAGCAAGTATTTTATCTTTTGTGCAAAATATATGAAGTTTACATTCAAAATATTCCCTGACCTGCAAGGAATCCAGAAATGTCAATTATATTATCCTAACTTTAGTCTGAGGTATTATTTATTACTAAACGTTAAAATCTAGTAGTTTCACCCAAACATTTCTCAGAGAGGTAGGAGCTAGTGAGCTGGGAAGAGGGGGGGAGGGGGATTTGAGTCCATTATTTGAATGGACATTAACCTGGCAACTGTATTTCTCTTAAATATTAAATGTGTGAGCATACCATCATAAAATTTAGATGTTATTTTTCCTACAACGTAGGTATTGTGTCAGAAAAAGTGGAGTTTGGGGGTCGGGCCAGTCTCTATTGGAATTAATCCCATATGTTCTGTTGTTCACTTTACCCGGTTTTCACTTTCCGCGGTACCCCATGGGTTCAATTGACCGCGTAAATCGGGGTATACTGTATACTTTTTCTGTGAATTGGAACCAATTACCCAATATCCCATTGAAATAATAGATTCAGTTAACAAAATTTTCGGTTAACGAACGACTCTGTGGAACGAATTGTGTTCGTTAATTGAGGGACCACTGTGTAGCGAACATCGTTGGACCCTACCTCGCGACTATATCCCGACCCAACTGTAGTGATTAATATAAACATGCTATAGTTTGCAATAGAAAATTTTTTTAGTAATAATTTAGTACATTTTAGTACAAAGGACTAAAATTTATATCTCTTGTGCAAAATATATGATGTATATATTCAAATTATTCTCTGTCTTGCAAGGATTCCACCAATGTAATTTATATTCTGCTAACTTTAGACTGTCATTTATGTCAAGTTTAGTCACTTTTATTGGCCTCCAGAACCTAACCCTATTTTCCCCATTGATTACATGTAATTATATATAGCGAACATCCTTGGACCCTATCTGGCGATATATCCCGACCCTACTGTACCCGGAAATTCCGGGGATGGGAGATTTTTACCGGGCTTGAGAGATGAAATAATGCATCATTCTGGAAAATTCCTGGGATGTGGGATTTTTTTCTGGGCTAGAGAGAGAGGGTAGTAGGCAGCTATCAAACAGGGAGGTACAGTCAGCCGACCCCACCCTGGGTCTCATGCTTACCTGGCAATAGTTGGTAAAGTAAGGCTCTATGTAAAGGTGATTGTGATTGGTGGATCTGTTTTTGGCTGCATTACTGTCAGGATAAATATTAAACAAACCAAAGGGAGAATTTTTATAATAATAAATTAGTCATTGTTATTAAGGTCGTGAGAAGTTTCCAAGTGTTCGTATATTTGTTTAATAATTAAGAAAATTTGATGTGAGAATCTTGTGGCAGCTGTGGTTGTAGTGAGTCGCTAATTCATTAATATAATTGTTTAGCAGGACCCTAACCCGGGACTTAAGGGTTAATTTTACCACACCACAAATTTTTTTTTTAAGGTATGACAAAATTATTTCCAATCACAGTACAACTACAGTAAGATCTCATACAGCTACAGTAAGATCTCATACAACTACAGTAAGATCTTATACAACTACAGTAAGATCTTATACAACTACAGTAAGATCTTATACAACTACAGTAAGATCTCATACAACTACAGTAAGATCTCATACAACTACAGTAAGATCTTATACAACTACAGTAAGATCTTATACAACTACAGTAAGATCTCTTACAGCTACAGTAAGATCTCTTACAGCTACAGTAAGATCTCATACAACTACAGTAAGATCTTATACAACTACAGTAAGATCTTATACAACTACAGTA